ATGACACATGGACATGAACTAAAGGGGGGGAATATGGGTGGGAAGGGGTGTGCAGGGTGGAGAGGGAATGAAGGGGGGAAATGGGACCCTTCATATAAAGTGTAATCAATAAAATATATCAATAAAATAGATTTTAAGGAAAGAAAAAAGAAAAAGAACACACATGCTATCGACCAGCCTGAGGCAGACCTACTCCAGGCCAATTGCTATCCAGTAACACTTTGAACCCACATCCTGAAGCATAGATAAGGGCCTAGAATTGTGAGAAAGATTATACCAGAGAGTATTAGTTGAGGATCCTCTCACCTTTGGCAACCTATTTTCTAATTCTGGAGAATGTAGAAGCCACACGGTCAAGGCTTTCTCATCTACAAATATACTCAGCTTCAAATTAAGACTGTAGTTCCATCCTTGTGTTCTTTTCTCTGGTGTCCGAAGAAAAAGTGCCCCATACATGCTTGCAGTACTAACTGTCCTCTAAATTCTGCTCCTGATCACCTCCCCTTGGGTCTTGTGTTTAATATTTTAAGTCTAAAATATCTTGAGTACCTTGATTTCATAGTTGCTTGGCTTTAGACAAGAAAATATGCATAAGCTTTCCCATTTCATTTAAAGAAAGATTGGATTTTGACTCCTCCATGAGTTTTTAACTTCTTTGTGTACTCCAATCGCAGATTTCTGGAACAAAATTACCACTCCTGGTTCAATAAATGTTTGTTGATAAAATGAACTAATGAATGCATTCTATCCACTTACTATTTTGTCTCATTTCTGCCCTTTTCTTTAAAAAAAATTCTCTGTAAGCCTGAGACCCATACTTAGTTACCCAGTCTGGAAGGCCTCTCCAATATGTTCATCCTGCTTAACTGAGGGACCTCCTCTATGGTAACTATCTCTCCTCTCTGGTACCCATCAAGATAAGGTACTTATAGGGTCAGAGGCTTAGCAAAGGTATGATAAAAAAATCCAAAATTTATTTTACTCTTTTACGGAGGGATGTCAGCATGCTGGGAAATGCTCTGGGAGTTGTGGGATGATTAATGAATAAGATCAGTAAGATTCCTGCCCTTTAAGAGTTTACATTCTAGTGTTGGGGCAGGGGGCAAGAAGCAGACCATTAACTTGTAAATATTTGAATAAACAAAATAATTTCAGATTGTGTTAAGTGCTAAGAAAGAAGTAAGCAGGTAATAGGATGGAAAGTAACTTGGGGCTAATTTTGATTGTGTGGTTAGAGAATACACGTACAATGAGTTGTGACCTTGGTGCTAATCATGAGCTGCTCTAGGCACTCCTGGCTATGTCCCACCTCTTCTAGTGCCTATCAAATGTAATTATCCAGCAATTCCACTTCTGGTTACTTATTTATTTTTTATAGTATATACAATATTTTAAAATATATTTTATTGGTTATGCTATTACAGTTGTACCATTTTTTATTCCCTTTATTCTCCTTCACCATGTATATCCATCCCACACACATTCCCCCACATTAGTTCATGTCCATGGGTCATACATATAATTCTTTGGTTATTTATTTTAAAAAATCAAAACACTAACTCAAAAAGATCTGCACCCTCATGTTCATTGTAGTATTATTTACAATAGTCAAAGCATGAAAACAATCCAAGTATCCTCCAATGGAAAAATAGATACAGAAAATAGAATATTATTCTCCCATGAAAAGGAGGAAATCTTACCATTTGCAACATGAATGAACCTTGATGCATTATAAGTGAGGTAAATCAGTCAGAGAAAAATGGGTATGATGTCACTTGTCTGTGAAAACTAAAAAGAAAACAACAGCAACAACAACTAACTCACAAAAAACACAGAGTCCCAAGGAAATTGGACCCAGGGAGGAACATACTAAAGCACATCATCATTAAGCTACCCAAGATTAAAGATAAAGAAAGAATCTTAGAAGGAGCAAGAGGAGAGAGTTACCTACAAAGGAGTTCCCATAAGACTATCAGCTGACTTCTTAAAAAAAATCTTGCAGGCAAGAAGGGGCCGGAAAGAAGTATTCCAAGTCATGAAAGGCAAGAACCTACATCCAAGATTGCTCTATCCAGCAAAGCTGTCATTTAGAATGGAAGGGAAGATAAAGTTCTTCCCAGATAAGGTCAAGTTAAAGGAGTTATAATTATCAAGCCCTTATTATATGAAATATTAAAGGGGTTTATTTAAGAAATAGAAGTTCAAAAACCATGAACAGTAAAATGACAACAAACTGACAACTATCAACAATTGAACCTAAAAAACAAAAACAAAAACTAAGCAAACAACTAGAACAGAAGCAGACAAATGAAGCAACAATGAGGGTTGGAGAGGTTGTGGGGAAAGGGGACTTTAGTTCATTGTTGGTGGGATTGCAGACTGGTACAACCATTATGGAAAACAGTATGGAATTTTCTCAGAAAACTAAAAATGAATCTTCCTTTTGACCCAGTAATTCCACTGCTAGGATTATACCCTAAGAACCCTGAAATACCGATCCAAAAGAACTTATGCACCCCGATGTTCATAGCAGCACAATTTACAATAGCCAATAGTTGGAAGCAACCTAGGTGCCCATCACCTAGTAAATGAATGGATCGAAAAATTATGGTACATTTACACAATGGAATTCTATGCAACAGAAAGAAAGAAGGAGTTACTACTTTTTGCAGCAGCATGGAGGGAACTGGAAAGCATTTGCTGAGTGAAATAAACCAGGCGGTGAAAGACAAATACCATATAACCTCCCCTTTAACAGAAACCTAAACAACAAAATGAACAAGCAAGCAAAATATAACCCAAGACACTGAAATAGAGAACAGGCTAACAGTGACCAGAAGGGAAAGGGGAGAAAATTTCAGGGGGAAGGGGAAGGATTTAAAGGAACCTAGTATAAAGGACACAGGGACAAAAACTAAGAGGAGTGGGAATGGGAGGGAGGTGGCGAGCACTGGGGCGGGGGAGGTCTTGGATGGGATTAAAAGACAGGAAGCCATACTTGGACAACAATTAAATAAATAAATTTAAACAAAAGAAATGGAGAGTGCATAGAAGGTTTTCAGTGGAGAGAAGGAAGGGAAGAATGTGAGGGGAAAGGTACAGGGAATAAGCATAATTGGTAGGCATAACATAGACAGGGAGAGGTTAAGAATGGTATAGGAAACAGAGAAGTCAAAGAACTTATATGTACAACTCATAGACATGAACTAAGAGGGGAAAATGCTGGAGGGTTGGGAGTGCAGGGGCATAAAGGGGGAAATTGGGAAAACTGTAATAGCATAATCAATAAAATATACTTTAAAAAGAAAAAAATGAACAGATTGGTGGTTGCTAGGGGTGGGGTTTGTTGGGGCCAAATGGGTGAAGGAGGTCGAAAGATACTGACTTACAGCTATGAATTATGAGTCCGGAGGATGTAACATACATCAGGATGACTATAGTTGATAATATTGTCTTGTATATTTGAAAGTTGTCAAGAGAGTAAAACCTTAAAGAGCTCCTATCATGAGGAAAAAATTATAATTTCCACACCTATTAACTATAGGATATTAACTATATTTACTGTGGTGACCATTTTGTTATATACATACATCAAATCATTACATAGCACAACAAAAACTAATGTGTGTTATATACAACTACCTCACAATAGAAAACTTTAAAAAATTTTTTTGAAGTTTTTCTCTTGCTTCCATATCTCAGCCTTCTAATCTAGATCTTATAATTTCCTTTGTATTTGAAGCAGTTTTCTGGCTTACTGGATTAACTATGTAGAATGGCTCATTCAGTTAGAAACTTATCCAAACTTTCTGGCTCTAGCCCTTGTGGGTATCCATCCACTCCTGCTGGGGGTGATGGTAATGTAGGTCCTTTTTATGTACTAAGACCCCATCTTTCTTACTTCTTCCCCTGAACTGTGGTTCCTATGAGATACTTATTAAATATTGGGTATTAATTTACACTATTTATTTGACTGCTCTGTTTAAAATGCTCTTGAATTTATCTTTGACCATATTGTGGTCCAGCTTTGACATTGCATCCTGAAACTCATACTTACGTCATTTGTTTACAAATTTTGAACACTCTTTAGTAGTTTATTATATAATCAAATTCCTTGGCCCTGGTGTTCAAGACTTCTTAAAATTTGGCAACAATTAACATAATTTGTTTCACAACTACCCTCTTTCCTCTTCCTACTTTCTAGTTCACCTTCTTCCCTTAGAATCCACACTCTGTTCTCCTTTCTTCACCTCACAGTTTTCTGAATCCTGTGTACTGAAGGGGATCAGAACACAAGTACCACTTTAGCAGGTGGATTGTTTTGAGCTGAAGGCAATTAAGACTCAGTAGACTGAGAAAAACATTTTAACCTCTTTCTTAACTGCCTGAAAGACTTTAGATATGAGGCCTATGCCAGGAATAGAAACTTTAACAGAGATAACTTTATTTATCAGAAAGACTTGTCTACATGGCATGGTAAACCTTTGTTTGCCAAAACTTTGCTCTTCTCATCTGCCTGTAAATTATTTTCCTCTCCTTTGAAGCTCCAGATTCCTACCCCCTCCTCCTTAGTTCAGGAGGGTATATAAACCTCAGTTGCCTGACTACTTTGAGTCTAAATATCTTTCATGAGCTTCTGTATGTATATAATGAAATTTGGTTTTATTCTGTTAACCTGTCTTATATAAATTTGATTATTAGACCAGCCAACAACACCAGAAGGGAAGAAGGAAATTTTTCTTCCCTTAAAATAATATACTACGGGCTTTCTTTGCCCAGGACTTCATATTTTAGACCCAGTTCAAGTTTCTCCTTATATGCAAAGCCTTCCATTTATCTTCCAGGTTGAATGAGTTCTCTCCTCTGTGCTGACAATAGCACTTGTTACATGAATCATAATAATAATATTAAACTTTCCTGAGTCCTTTAGTGTTGGGAACCTCCCTGCCTGGTTTCAGAAGCTGTAACCACTGCCCCCCCCCCCCCATGGCTAAGACTGAGTGACCTTCGGACCATAAGCCACAAAGGAGACAAAGCTTATCTCCCTGCCAGGGGCGCTGCCTCTGCTCCTTTTACTTCACCCTGCCTGGCCCCCGATGCATGATCGATTAGCCAATGATGGGTAAGATTCCTCAAGGGAGGGATGACCTAAGACAGGCACAATCATGGGAGGCCCCTGGGGAAAGACTTGGGGGGCTACAGCAAAATGAGGTGATTGGACCCTTGCCCTTCAGCTTTGACATAGCCTGAGTCCTCAGTCTGTCTGCAAGAAGTCTCTTAATCTCTCAGCTGCCTAACTCCCCTTGCCTGACTTAAGCCTGAAACAATGCTGGAGGACAGTGCAGCCCTGTGCTGGAAAGAGTGGGTTCCTGGGTTCCTCGGGTGATCTGGCCTAAGAAAGAATGCATAAAATTCTGTGAAACCTGCTTTGCAAAGAATGCTCTCAATTAAATGATAAGGGTCCAAGCAGGAAATGAGTTTGTTTCCCAAAGTTTTATAGCCCTTTAGCTAAGACCCTGACTTAGAATAAGCCCTCATAGTTATTTGTGTGTTATTTATTATTTGATCTTTACTGCCTGACAATGATTGATGAGCTGTACCTGTATTCCTGCCCGTGCAAAAGGAACCCAGTAAAAGCCCATTGAGAAAAAGGCTCTTGGCCCTTCTCCTTTGAGGGATTGGCCACCTTTCCTCCCCAAGCAGATCATGTCTTGGTAGACTTATTCTCATCTGTGGTGGCCAGGGGGTCCCTGTGGGCAGAGTGCCCCCACCCCTCTAGTCCTGGAATAGTTCAAAAAATCTATCCACCCTTTTGTGTTCTAAGATATAGCTTACAAGAAAGAGCTGCCCTTCCTCAAATGTCTTAAAGAGCTAATACTCATTGATGTCTCCCCCTTTCACTTATGATGAGGCCAGACATAGACCCTTTACATTACCATTTCTTTTTTTTTTTTGCCTCAAAAAAGATAAGCTGAGCTATTTGCCTCCACTGATCAATTGAAACAAAGCACTTGTAACTACAGCTTAGTTGAGTCTCTCTCCATTCTGCAGGCCCCTAAACATTGACTCACCCTCCTTCTGACCCAGCAAACAACCCCCCTTAAAGATCCTGCCTAAGCATCAGCAAACTTCAGGGAAAATAATTCCCTGGTTGTCCCACTCCCTCCATACCCTGTTGTTTCTAGAAGAACCTCATTGCCCTTCACCTATACATGAAAATTCCTATTCGTGTGATTGATGAAATGCTTGCAGCTCCCAGTGCTAATAAAATTTGTTAGTTCTTATTTTCTATAAAAGACCTTTATACTAGAACTAGTTTCAAGTCTTGAAGCACTGTATTCCAAAAACGGTTAGTTTGAAAGTGAACAAATCTTCTATTTTATTATCTGGTTTGGATAATTCAGCTCTAAGAAGGGTGAAGCTCTTAAAGATGTACTGTGTAAAAAATCTGAGAAGCATATTCTGTGTTTATGGTGAGAAAGAGAGAATTTCACTCTACCTTTTATATCAGAGTCCCCTATTAATGTTATTTCTGACAGCTGTTCCTCAAGCTTAAACCCACGTGAAGTATTTTGTTTTATCATCTTTCTCTGAATATAATACATTATAACACTGATTGCACACCAGTACCCCTGTTCTATTTTTCTTCTATTTCAAACTTTAGAGTCAGATGCACAGGTATTCTCCTAGATGAACTTCACAGTCACTGCTTTTAGTTCCTCCACAAATCCTACCCACATCACCCCTTTTCCTACTTTTTCCCTTAGATGTAGCATTGGTGTTTTTTTGTTTATTTTTTATTTTAATTTCAATTAAAGTTGACATTAAACATTCATAGTTTGGGGTACACAGCATTGTGGTTAGACAATTACATCATTTACAAAGTGATCCACCAATAACTGAAGTACCCACCTGGCACTGTGCACAGGTATTAAAGTATCATTGACTATATTCCCTGGGAGTGTTGGTGTTTTCTATGAGCAAGAGTTTCAAGTCCAGTCAGAGACAGATTTGAACCCAGCATTCAGCCATAACTAGCCATATTTATTAAGTCTTGGGTATGAGGAGGGGAAGCCAAGGAGTGAGAGCAGCTGAACGGTAGTTGGAATTTTTGCCAGTAGTACTACCATAATGTTAATGGGGATAAAATGCTTAGCCTAAAGTTAGTGATTCAAATTCCAGTTTTTCTTCTGTGCACATGATTTTTTTTGAAGATCAGGCCTATCAAACCAAGAGGCATCAGTGGAGTGTCACCAGCTGCAATATTCCATCAAGTATGTAATTCAAATTTTTTAGTGTTTTTTGGGGGCGGTCTGGTGTTATTTTTTATTGTTATTCAGCTACAGTTGTCCCCATCTCCCCCCTGCCCCTGCCCCACGTATATGAGTGCCACCATCATGCAAGGTTGGGAGAATTTTTTGGACACTCATATGCTGGGTCTTGTATCAGTGTCTATATCCTGTCTGTTGCTCTGCTATTGTGACAGAGAATAAAAAACATAAAATCTTTACACAATATTGTATAACTAGAATTAAATAAACTAACAAACTAACAAACCTGTGAGAACAGAAACAGCACTCAGAGTTTTAGTTAACAACCTCTGTTTGGGCCTCTACTGTAGAACAAGGCAGCCATCAGCAGTATCGGTTCCTGTCCAGATAGGAAGAGACTGACCACAGCAGTCAGGCTGATGCAGATCTATGTAAAGTGCTGATGAGAAAACTTTTACCTAAACTAGCAAGAAAACTGTCCCCACACACACATTTTCCTTCCTTCCCTCCCCTCCCCCTATGAGAGCCACTGGTTTGACCACAGATGTTAAGATGGTTTTATTTATTTTTCTTTTTTTTAATTTAATTATTTTTCGAGTACAGTTTTCTGTCTTTTACTCCCATCCCAGCCCACCCCCCCAGTGCTCCCCACCTCTCTCCCATTTCCACCCCCCTTAGTCGTTGTCCATGTGTCCTTTGTACTAGTTCCTGTAAATCCTTCCCCTCTTTTCCCTGAAATTCCCTCCCCTCTCGCTTCTGGTCACTGTCCCCTTGTTCTCTATTTCAGTATCTTTGTTTTTATTTTGCTTGCTTGTTTGTTTTGTTGTTTAGCTTCCTGTTAAAGGTGAGATTATATGGTATTTGTCTTTCAACACCTGGCTTATTTTACTCAGCGTAATGCTTTCCAGTTCCATCCATGCTCTTGCAAAGGGTAGGAGCTCCTTCTTTCTTTCTGCTGCATAGAATTCCATTGCGTAGATGTATCACAATTTTTGGATCTGTTCATTTACTGATGGGCACCTAGGTTGCTTCCAGCTCTTGGCTACTGTAAATTGTGCTGCTATGAACATTGGGGTGCCTAGGTTCTTTTGGATTGGTGTTTCAGGGTTCTTGGGATATAATCCCAGCAGTGGAATTGCTGGGTCAAAAGGCAGGTCCATTTTTAGTTTTCTGAGAAAATTCCATACTGTTTTCCACAGTGGTTGTACCAGTCTGCAATCCCAACAGTGAACTAGGGTCCCCTTTTCCCCACAACCTCTCCAATACTGCGTGTTTATTGCTTTGTTTATGATGGCCACTCTGACCGGTGTAAAGTGGTATCTCATTGTGGTTTTAATTTGCATCTCTCTGATAGCTAGTGATATTGAGCATCTTTTCATGTGTCTCTGGATCCTCTGTATGTCCTCTTTGGAGAAATGTCTGTTCAAGTTCTTTGCCCACTTTTTAATTGGGTTGCTTGTCTTCTTAGAGTGGAGTTGTGTAAGTTCTTTGTATATTTTGGATATTAAAGCTTTGTCTGAGGTATCATTGGCAAAGATGTTTTCCCATACAGTTGGTTGTCTTTTTATTTTAATACTGTTTTCTTTAGCTGTGCAGAAGCTACGTGCAAAAAAAATGAAACTTGAGCACCGACTTACACCATACACCAAAATAAATTCAAGGTGGATAAAAGACTTAAATATAAGCCGTCAAACCATTAAAGTCCTAGAGGAGAACATTGGCAGGAAAATCTCAGATATTTCTTTCACGCAGCATCAAAGGAAAGAATAAACAAATGGGATCTCATCAAAGTTAAGATGGTTTTAAAGACAGGAGTTTGTTATCTTCTCAAGTCACCAGCACCTGAATAAACTTTTCTCTTTTTCAACAGCATCTGCCTCAGGAGGATTGACTTTCATCCCAGCAGGCAGCAGAAACTTCCTTCTGTGACTCTGTGAGTCTCCAGATGATAAGAGTGTGTGTCTAACCCACCTCAGATTCTGTCACATTTGAACACATTTATGTATATGGTGAGCTCTCAGTAAATGTTGTGTAACTTTCTATTGGTCTCAAAATCAGATTCAGAAAAGAGTTTATTCCAACACAGCTGCTTCCTTTTGCTAAGGTCAATGCCCTGTTATGAGAAAAGACTTTTGGTTTCATTTCTGGTTCTCATTCAGTTCCCAGAAATGTATATTTTCCACAAGAGGGAAAATTGTTTGTCAAGTGCTTAATGAATGTGATTTGTAAACTCTCATTCTTAGTTTTCTTGTTTTTCCTGCTAATTTTCTACCATTCTTTCTATTTGATAATTCTAGCCTTATTCTGAGTAAAATGAGGGAAAAGGAATTCACCCAGACCTCCTTAGGTTTAGTAGAAAGAGCCAATGACAGGGTCCCACCAAGGGGTGGGAGGAGGGTTAGGCCAGAGAAATACTTAGGGTGCAAGGGAACTTGAGAGTGAGGGAGTCCTCAAGTTTTGCACTCTAGGTACCTCACTTATCTCTCCCTAGTTTCACTCCTACTGCCAATTTTAACTAATAGTGCTTTGGGTGGGGCAATTCACCTCTCACCCATTAATTAGAGAGAGAAGGGCAGCAAGGTCACTGAGTCTCTGCTGCCAGCATTTCCCCTTGACCGTTTTTTTCAGCAGGCTTGTCTCCAGCCAAGAAAATGTATCTTCTAAGAGACTCTGTTAGCCTCTTCTGAAATCTGTTGGAAGATTCTTGCCAACCAAGAAATATGGGGAGAAGAGAAAGAAAAGTGGATAATCCAGGTATATTTATAACAGTTTAGTCTTTCTTTGTTTCAACACCGGCTGTGTGAGTGTTGTCTTCACTAAGCAATACTGCCACACCAACCAGGCATCCTACCATTTTACCCATTCTGATAGTATCTACCTGGATATAGTGTCAGAACCCACAGGTTAAGGGTTCAGTCCTTGGGTACTGCCTGACCCCTTCAGATTTGGACCCCAAGGAGTAGGTTCCCTGGGTGTTCTCATAACTTCCATCCAACATGACTGCATATCAGAGGTTCCCACAAACCCCTTCACAGGGTTTATAAATTTTCTAGAGTGTTTCACAGATCTCAGGAAAACATTTTCCTTATGTTAACCAGTTTATTAAAGTATTTGACAAAGGATGCAGATGAAGAGATACATGGGACTGAGCCTGGGAGTGTCCTGAGTACAGGAGTTTCTGTGCCCATGAAGTTGTGGTGTGTCACCCTCCCAGTAGAGGGCTGTACTCACCAACCTGAAAACTGTCTGAAGCCCATGCTATTGGGATTTTGTGGAGGCTTTCTCTCACAGGCATGACATACTATGAATCCCATCTCCAACCCCTGTCCTTGGATGAAATGGGAGTGCAATTCAAGGTACCAAAGCTTCTAATCATGGCTTTGACTTTCTGGTGACCAGCCCCATTTAGGAGCCCTTCAGAAACTCACCTCAAGTCATCTCATTGATCAAAAGATGCTCCTAGTAATCATATGAATTTTTACAAGGATTTGAGGGACCTTGTGTCAGGAGCTGGAATGAATACCAAACGTACATTTCTTACTATATCGTAATATTCTGCTGCAGAAAGACACAGAGACATCAGATCCTGCTTTTGGTGCGCTTCTCTTCCTACCTCTCAACAATGTCCTGCTGTAACCAGTAGGGCTTTGCTTGCTAGAGGAGGTAGAAGGAAGAACTTTATCAGTTTTTCAACAACTCCTCGATGCCAAACTCTTATTTATTTATTTATTTATTTATTTATTTATTTATTACAGTTGTTCCAACTTTCCCCTGTCATTGGCCATGGTCCCACCCTCTGCACCACTCCCACAGTCAATTCCCACTCTGTTGTCTTTGCTCATGTGTCCTTTATACCTGTTTTTAACTAGGCCCTTCCACTTCTTTCCTCCCACAACCCTCTCTGGTCACTCTCAATCTCTTCCTTGTTTCATACCTCTTCCTTGGTTCTCTTTTTCTCATTTGTTTGTTATGTTCATTAGATTCCTGTTATAGATGAGATCATATGGTATTTGTCTTTTCCACCTCACTTATTTCACTTAGCATAATACTCTCCAGTTCCATCCATACTTTCATGAAAGGTAAGAGTTCTTTTTTTCTCTCTGCTATGTAGTATTCTGTTGTGTAAATGTACCAGTTTTTTGACCCACTCGTTTACTGATGGGCACTCTGGCTGCTCCCAGCACTTGGCAATTGTAAATAACACTGCTATGAACAGAAGGCTGCATATGTTCTTTTGAATTGGTGTTTCAGGATTCTTAGGGTATATTCCCAGCAGTGGAATCACTGGGTCAAAAAGCAGTTAGTTCCATTTTTAGTTTTCTGAGGAAATTACATACTATTTTCCACAGTGGGTGTACCAGTCTGCATTCCCACCAACAATGCACTAGGGCTCCCTTTTCTCTGCAGCCTGGCCAGAACTTGTTGTTTGTTGATTTGCTAATGATGGCCATTCTGATTGGTGCCAGCTGGTATCTCATTGTGGTTTTAATTTGCATCTCTCTGATGGCTAGTGAGGCAGAGCATCCTTTCATATGCCTATGAAACCTCTGTAGGTCCTCCTTGGAGAAGTGTCTGTTCAGGTCCTTTGCCCATTTTTTAATTGGATTGTTTATCTTCCTGGTGTTGAGTAGTATGAGTTCTTTACATTTTTTGAAGATCAAACTTTTGTCTGAGAGATCATTGTGATGATGAACTTTTAGAATAGTACCGAGAACATATTGTGGGCCATGGGGGCGGGGGATTACAACTCCTGAAACCAGGCAAGGCAGCTCCCAACATTTGTCAAATAATTTTTCTGCATCTATTGATGTGATATGATTTTCAAC